CCCCCCCCCCCCCCCGCCACCCACCAGGTGATGACAACCTTATGATATGTCCCCTATCAATAGAGCCTCGGCAAACTGCTGAACCCGGTTCTGAACCCAAAACTTGGCAACTGTCCGGCTCTTCGGGGCCTATCGTAATTGTGTAGATATGCTGGCCAACCTAGAAATCACAAGCGCATATGGCGCACAAAAATGAGCAATGATGATTCTTGAAAAAGCTTGAGAGTTTACCCGCCCGAAGCCCTACATCCCATACCGTAAACACGAAATCCTTGCTTAACCCCAGAGACGCCGACCCTCCACGAACACCACTCGCTAGACTCGAAAGAGCAAAACAACAACAAAACAAGATCATACGCCATCAGTCCTAATCGCCCATAACCCCATACTCCCAGACTTCTGAATCCTAAGCCATATATCTCTATAACCCACGAACACCAAAAGCCCTCGCCGTGCAGTTTGGGACCCCGGCGCAGTCGCTGAATGTCCGGCGGCCTCCGCGTGTGAGGGCTTCAGATTCATGGTGATTAAGCTGTAACGTTTAGCCTCCATATCTGAGTGGCCGAAGTGATCCCTACATTCGCAGTCGTTGGAATACCCTTTCCATACATCACCAGGTCGGGGATGCTTATGCTAAACGCCATATCATCTTGGTGGTACATAGTGGAAGCCTCGTTTGGAGAAGCACCCATGTTCCAGGCATCCCAACCCAAAGTAGGTACTATCTATATGAGGTCCAAAAATATGCTTTCTTTGCAAAAATGACCCCCCGGGATATGCTTGGACTTTAGGTGGAGCTTGCCAACAGCGGTCAGGTTCAGGGTTCTAAAGCGCATTGTACAATGGATCGCAGTTCTGACTATACTCCCTCTCCAGAGATTGAGCAACCTCTTACACATTATATTACTAACACGACTACAATATATACCGTACCTGAATACCAGGTATATGAACACTTATTGGTACCTTGAACCTTATAGCCATTTGGGTACTTGGACCCTTTGGGCAATGAGAGATTAGCCTACAACCCCGACATTTGACAATGAGCTGTTGACATGCCAATATGTAAGGTTCCGTGTTAATCTGCGAGAAAGTAACACCTAACTCCCAAACCCTGAACCATCAACTGCCACTAAAGCCTTCAATCCTAAAAAAAGCGTCCCCTGCCTGGGCTGCAAGCCTATAAGTGATGCGCACTCCGGGCCCTAAAGTCCGTGCATAGCACCTATTTCGGACATTTTGGGATCCATACTGCCCGTAAGCGGATAGGCTAGTCTCCACTCTGTGGGTCCTGTCCACGCTGTCACCACCAGGCTGTCTGAGGGCACAGATTTCTGCCTCAAAAGGCTGAGAATGAGGTCAGTCAGGGCTTAGGACGGAAAAAGGATTATAGGGATTAGGTGTACACCACATACAATCATACTATAACATGCATTGGTCCCTTCAGACTTCTCCTCTAGCTACAGCCGATAGCAACGATAGTCAATCCACGCCGCAACGAGCCCTTAAGAGGGGCCAAGCATCGTATCTGCATGCCAAACCACGAAGTCCGATGGATGTATGCCCCAATGGGCCCCAAATCTGAATCCGAAATCCACAGTCCCAAAACCCAAATCCCACACCCCAAGCCGGAAACCCAGGATTCTATTCTGACCTTGAGCCTCCTGCTCGCTAAGTGCGAAACCCTGACAGTCATAGCCCAAATCCTGAAAATCAAAAACTTGAAAGCCACCGAAAAACTGAAGCCCTAAACCCTCAAAACTCTGCAAACTTTATCGAGTCACCCATCCCTGCTGTGCCTAAAAACCCAGAATCCTCAGCCCTAGCACTTATAGGGTTCATAGGTATAAACCTTCTCTTCGTTGGATTTCACATTCAAACCTCTGGAATCTTTTCAGCTCGGGTTTTAGGTTTCTAAAGGTTGGGGTCCTAATCCTAAGATCCCCTTGATTCCTATATATCCCCAGAAGTTACATCCTGGGTGGA